ATCATATGATAGATTACGTTTTTGTACAATTTTTTATGATTAGGAAATAAATTCATACATGCGAGCTAAAATCTGCATGACCTGAGCAACTGATATTTATTTACCGATTATTAGTATAAGAAAATATTTTTTTTTTTTTTTATTTTTTTTATTCGTATATTATTGTATTTTTGAAACAGAAGGCGAGGTCGGAAAGATATATAATATAATAAAGAAACAAATATCATTGGTTAAGCAATACCGAAACAAAGAATAGCTTAAGTAGCTAAACCATTTAGTACTCTGCATTTATTAGTTGGCCTGGACTGACAGTAGAACTTGTTAACTTCGTACATTATTTATTCTTCTCCGATATGTGAAAAATTATCCAAACATAACGACATTTTTCATCCAATCGTTAGTTACTATTTTTTCACGGCAAAAGACGACTTGAAAGCACCTTGAGTGAATTATCAAAATGAATGTTGAATCCAAAGGTTATTGGCTGACAGTTTGGATTCTCGGATTAACCGAGGCTACAGTGAGCCTGGCTTAAATTTTCTCAGATAAAAATCTCATTTTGTTTTTTAATACAGATTGTATTACCAGCAACCGACAAGATCTCGACTTCTATATAATTGTATTGAATTTCATTCGTAATATTCTCATCTACGACGCATTAAAAATTCTTATTCAATATTTTTTATATTGCACACGCACACACATATAAAAAAAAGGTTAATATTTCGAAAGCCTAATTATATTTCTATATTAATCTATATGGATGGTATCCAATTAAAATATTCTATTCAATATATTACAATAATAATACATTAATAAAATCCATAAATGTTATAAATTATTTATTATTATTAACATCAAATTTTATGCGTCATAAATGTTAATGAAATTTCAATCGTAGTTGAATTATCTCAAAATAAATTATCAATAGAATAACATTTTCTAATGCTGGAAACATATTTTATAAATAAACATTGTTCTGCGTACTTAAAGGAAAAATACATAGGTATTTTATAGAGATGTGTGGCATTACCGAAACATTTATTAGACTACAGTAAAGCAATTTCGTCTTTCTATTTATATTAAACGTTATGATTCTTTACTGTATCATTCGAACACAAATTCATTATTATATCATTATGCTAATCATATTTTTGCTCGAACGATAAACAAAAGCGAGCTTGAGAAAATATAAAATTAACACTTAAGCTGCTTGGTATTTTCTCTTCCGTATAGAAAATAACTTTCATATATATATATATATATATATATATAAAACGATACTATTTAATCGATATAAAAACGGGGTCTTTATCATCTTTTATAATTCGTTGTGTTCTTTACCTGATCCATCAGTGAGTTTTTATTTATACACGTTCATACGATTTCAGTATAGAAAACATATCTTATTTCAAAATCATCAGGCCGTGACAGTTGAAGAATAAATAGCCATTTGATAATGGTTTCATTGCCATTATTTCTTGATAAATTTTTTATTGTCAAACAATCTCTTGAAGAAAATAGCTTGAAGCAGGTGCGCGACGTTCCTCAACGTGATGAAAAGAAATATTATGGCGAGTTATCTCAACTGAAAACATCTTAATAACCATATAAGCTAGACAATGATTTCCAAAGAATGGTAAACACGCGCGCGAGCATGCATGTATGTGCTAACGAAGCTACTCGTCGTCGATTTCTTATAAATCCATAGTGGCACATTAATTATTTATTTGTCCGTTATAAAAATGAATGTTTCAAGAGTTGTAAAGACTTTTCAGCAAAATATCCACAAATAAGCATCGCTAATAATCAGAATTTAATCATTATTATGGGGTATAATAATCATGCTCACCTCTCGGACATTAAACATTTATTAAATTCGTAAATGCGTGTTGTTATATTAATATTACATTAATGATTTAGAAATCACGCGCTATAAACTACTTTTGCAGTCATTACTTAGAATTAAATTGTATCATGTATTTGAAATTAGTCGAGTGTAAGGTATTTAAAATAAATTATGAATATAACATTTCATTTAGTCGCGTTCGAAATAGCAACCTATACCGAATATCGTATATTTTTTATGAAATAAATAATATAATATATCATTGGAGTTTTTTTTTTTTATTAAATTTTAACGCTTATTGAAGCACATTAATAACATTGGTAATAAATCTCTCTGTGATTTATATGTAATTTTAATTAAAAATCTTTATTCAATATATATAAACATTAAACGAGGAGTATTATTGAGGCGATTTAACAACTATTCATACGAATATTTTCGATAAATATTATAAAATAAAATTTTCGCTATTCATAGGTAAGTAAAAGCTTGTTATTCACAGAGGAATGGTAAAATAGTTGAAGTGACAGTTACATTCGGGATGATAAACGTCCGGAGTTTGTTATTAATACAAATTTATAGCCACATTACTGGCTTATCGATATGACTATTTAACATTCGGAATATAAAATTAATATGACCGTAATATTTACAGTTTTTTATTGCCAGTAGACATTAAAGACTAAAATCCATGTAAAGCTTAAGACAATTGGAAGTGAAAGGTAAAAAAAAATGTCTTTTTCGCTATGTCGCGAAGATCCGATGGATTAAAATTAAAATTTTAAATGTCACTATATAAAGTTATGAAACGAATTTCAGATTATAATTTCCATCCTTTAATTTCAAGAATTATTTTTATATTTCTGTTTCTTTCGCACATCATTCTTTTTATCTTTTAATGCGCATAAACAATATTTAAATAAACAATCCGAATGCCTTTAATATATACTAAGTATAATTTTAATTATATTATTATTTACTCATTTGTAATGATAGTAGATTTTAAGTTTTTTTTTTTTTTTTTTTGCTAATTATCTGAATATTTTTATTCTGAATATTATCTGAATATTATCTGAATAATGAGTGCAAAGTCATTAAAAATTGAGATCATTGCCTTTCATTAAAACTAAAATTCAAGAATAATTTATATTTTACTTCATTTATTTGTCAGTAATTTCTTATCGTAATTCTAAAATCAATATGATAAGAAAAAAGTGAATGAACAATGACAACACATAGTTTCATCGTTTAATGGCACAAATGAGCAAAGAAGTAAAAACAAAATTTAAGCAAAGGGACAATATTTCTCCTGCATCCGTTCACAAAGGATTCAGCGACGATTGAAAAAAATACTTTTCCGAGGAAGAAGATGGCAAATTGTATGAGTAATCAAAAAACTATGATAGTTAAAATTTCAAGACTTAAAAGTTGAATTATATATGACGAATTAATTTCTTCAAGCTCATATTATAGGAATCTGAAGAATAATGTATTGTTAAATTGTGCACAATAACACGTAATTAATAATAATGCCCTAACCTTTTATATTTATTGTGTAACATGTTATTGATCGATTTATTTATTTATTTATTTTTAAATTGTATTTTATGTTTGCTTACCAGTGAAAACTATAGATATTATTTGGAATAATATAATAATGGTAAAAGAATTATTTTACTGATAGGGAGAGGCTTACATTTAATGAATTTACTTCTTTTCCGTACATTCAATATTTAATTGCTATAATTTTCAGTCGTATATTCCTAGAAACACCGTAGCTAAGAAAATGATATGCTATTTAAATTCTTTGTACACAGTGTTTATTAACGATTCAACAATGTTAAAGAAAGCAGCATTTACTTTTTTAAAAATATTACATTTTGATTATTCTTGTTAACAAATATTTGATAAGATATAAATTAAATTGTTTATTTGAGTATTAGAGCATGTAATAAAAAGCAATATTTTTTTTTCTTTCCAAATTTGTCTAAAGTTTAAAATTTCTTGCTATTTTATTGGAATTGTCGCGTATACGGTATTTTAAAATGTAACTGCAAGTTGTAAAAATATATATAAGATTTGTATTGAAGGAACATATAATAATAAATAACTATTATAATTTATGGCGTAGTGCATATTACAAATGATTAATTGTCAAAAGTAATAATTTTCTTGAATAACAAACGTAATTTGCTTATTTCTTTAATTTTTTTTTGTTGCATCTTCTAATATAAATTACAAGCATGAAGCAAACATTAATTAATATAAAAATTAGTAAACTATATGATTACATACAATGGAGATAAGTGAAATTTAAAAAATAATAATTTTTTTTTTTTTTTTTTTTTTTTTTTTTTTTTATTATTTAATACGCTAATTCCTTTAACGTGACATCTTAGTACTCCATCCTCTAGGTAAATCCTAAATTGTCAAGTGTTTAAACAATCTGTTTGAAATCCAAAAAATTGGATAGCCTTAGCGATGATTGTCCGTCCCTCTTTATAAGCGCCTTTTCCATGAAATATTGGTACGTTTTATTATCGCTATTATGCCAACGGCAACAGGGTTTAATAATACAAGCTCGTTGAAGATATTAAAAGAAGGAATATTCGGCTGAAATTAGCTTGGCGGTTTATTTGAAGTCGCGAGACCGCGTCGTCCTATCGACTATTTAAATAAATATAAATCAATTTAAAAAAAAAAAAAAAAAAAAAATAATTACTCTTTGACAGTTTCTTATGCAATCGGTATATAAATGGGTATAAATTTATAATATAAATGTGAGATCCCTCGTCGTGTCTATGCGTGACAAAAAATTCGCCATTCGAAAAGTTCGATTGCGCAAAAGTTGCCTCGAAAGTTTATTACTTGGTATAAGTGAGTACGCGGGTATACGAAGCACCTTGAGCCTCGATAGTGCTAAAACGCGTACACGCCACTTGGACATCGTGAGTTTCGAGAAATCAAATGTTCGCACATTACCGTAGAGGGCCTTGGATTCTGAATTGAATTTGAATTCAATTCAATTAGCTCGTTATAACTTCTAACCTAAAAGTACTTGCAAAAGTCGCTTCCACGACGCAATTAATCGCGCAATCGAGCCCCGAGCGCGTAAGGAAGGTGGCAACAAGTTCCGAGCCCTTTTACGTACCTCTAATGGGGAAGGGTTTCGTCTGGATGGTGTCCGAAGTCGGCGGCGTATAGTGCATCTCTATTTTTCGAGTATCCGGGTCCGACGACATGGTGTGCGTTGTCGTGTCTCCGGGTCTTATCGAATCTCCTCTCTATCCTCGTTCGGCTTCTCGTTTTCGTTTGGCAGGGGCAGATAAATCCGGCGCTTCGACTCCTCGGAATCCCGCTATTCGGCTCGCCAATTGCACGATCTTCTTTATTAATAGCTGCGCCTCGGTAGGCGTGCGAGAACGAGCCGCTCGCTGTGCTCGGTCGACGGCGATGCCGTCAACGGAGGAGCGCAGCCTCCCGTCGCTGCAGCCCAGAGATCGGCGCGAGCGTGCTTGCCGCTCGAGAGAGTGAGGAAAAACAAAGGAATCCAAGCACCATGTTCGGAAAGCGCGGTTCTTAACCTTAAAGAGTCTCTGGATACGGCTGGGAGATGCGTACGCGCGCACTCGGCAGCCGGGGGCAGCGGTGCGATTATTGGCGGTAGTTCTGGCGGTAGCTCTGGTGGTGGTGGTGGTCGTGGTGGCGGTGGCGGCGGCAGCGACGGCTATTAGGTTGAACTAGTGGCAGGCGGCCCCGCAACTGCGACTGAACGCCAGCGGCTGAGGCGCATGGCCCTCGTGCCACGGTCTCGACCCCCGAGGCTAATACGCGCGTCGCGACGATTACCGCCGTCGGGAGGCAAAGGTCAGGCGAGCGGGATACGCGGGAGACACGCGGGAGACACGCGGGAACCCGGTAAACATGAGAGAGAGCGACGCTTATTTTATTTGGCCCTATCGATGCCGCAGTCGGGAGGTGGGAGGAAGTGCGATGAGGTCGATACGGGGGCCGAGTTTCATCGCGGTCGGAATCGGGCGGCGCGCGATGAAGATGTGACGGCAGTCGTACGGAATCGGCTGCGCTGCTTTCATTGGACTCCTCGAGGAAGTTATACAACCGTGGCTCTATTGGGCCAACATCGGCCCTATTTTATGAACAATTTCGTGGATAGTTGTCGGTAGTAAATATAGGCCGTCAACGCGATCAAGCCGACGCCGTCAAATATCCTAATCAAATGCGCGCTGTTTTTTTGTTCCTGTAGGGGACGCTGCGGTGCGCCGCTCCCGCTACTAAATTACAAATGATCGTACAATATTACGATTATTATTTTTATAGCTGTATTGTTGTTCTTGTTGTTTTTGTTATTATAAATAATAATTATTATTATTATTCGCGGCCGTCACAGTCAATATTGTTGACATTATTCGACGCTGACGTGCAAGACAAGAGTCCGTTGTTGCCTGAGTTTCGCGAGCGCGCAGTGATGGATATTTTTTAAGAGACAGGCCAAACAACGTCACCGTCAAACGCGTATTAAAAGTCAATGTAATGCCGAGAGATCTTTAAGCTTTACGATAAGAAACATGATCATTAATCTCGTTGCACACTTTCTCTCGATTAATGTGAAAGCATTTTTACCCTGGAGGCCATTTTCAATAATGAAAAGGATGAAATTTTGGATTCGATGCGTTAGGATTTGACGTAGCGAGCCGAGCCAAATAATTTAAAAAAAGAGCTCCTTACGATATTTTGTTGCTACATTAGAGCAGACGCAATTCAATTCGATTACCTCATTCGGCGATATTGTGGTGATACTGTATTCCTTGGCATACCGTGGGGTATCGGGCACTATTTTTAAAGCCAAAAAGTGTCAAGGAATTTTTCGAAAATTCCATTTTGACGCTGACCTATTCAATAACAAAATTTTAAAACGTACGATTATAATTACAATTGTTTGGAGTTTGTTGATCCTTGATCTTTGTCGTCCTGACGCTAAATTAAAGGAGAATGAATTTTCATTTTCATTAAAAAAAAAAAAAAAAAAAAAAAAAAAAAACTGTTCAATGAGTTTTATTACGACTGATAGGCTCGTTCGAAACTTTAAGAAAGAAAAGATAAGACTATTGGATAGGTTGTGGTTGTATTTTCACATTTACAGAAAATATATTGTAAAACATATTTTACGCGTTCTGTAAGATCGCGTTTACAAATTCTTCCACTTCCAAATCGTCCGTACATTTTTATACACACATAATATTTTTAACGATAATTTGCGTTAAACAATTTAAGTTCCGTTTGAGCATCAGCTGAAGCGGGTCACTTAAGCAAACGACGCACGTACGTGTTTTTCTCCGAGCAAAGTTTCTCACAATTGGCAAACACAATTTACGCATTTGGAATCTTCGTGCGTAAGAGTACCTAGAAGCGGAGGAAGAAAAACAGATGAAGCGGTCAACCAATGCTCTGACTTAGCAAGTAGATTACACGACATTCCCGTCGGAGTATCGATCAATGGCGTCTTACGTTCATGGACACAACATACGATTCTAGCACTTGCGCGTACATAACGCTTTATTGCGCTATTGTGAAAAACATGTGTGCTCGCGTGACATCGGATATTACGTAATTGCAGTGCAAATGTATAGCATCGTTAAGCACTTGAGGATTTACTCCATTATCTTATCTAGAATTGTAAAACAACGTAAATAAGTAGCTGATAATAAAGTATCAATTGGCTTCTTGGGCACGATCTTCTTACATTGTATTTTCATTTATTTTCAACGCTACTTTACGACGTACACAGTCTTTATTAATTATATATAAATTATATATGTAAATATAACTGTTGAGTTGAAAAAGTACACCCGTTTTATGTATGATTTGTAACGTTTATGCTTTTCAGGCATTTCGTTATTATGCGAAATTAAATATTCATTTATCATATTTAGTTAAGAATGGATTAATTTCATCCGCCACCATTTTTGGTTTCGTCAGATGCATATGATGACATCCTTCGAGAAACTTCATGCAAAAGTCATTGCTAGATTTGATCAGGGATTTCGCAACATTTGTCCAGTATGTCTCTGCCTGAAGCGGTGATTGTTTTGATTTAAGAATCAAATACGGACAGTTGATAACTTTGTTTATTTCTCTTATCGTTTCTAGGGTGTAGAAAGGAACGAATCTGATGTTTAATCTGTGGTCACGAGTGTAAGAATATTTACCATCTGCCTCTTTTTTTGCGCCTCTAGTCATTAAAATACCGGTTGTAGCAAAATCTAGTTGGCTATATGAATTTGCCTTCATCCACCTTTCCATAGCATCATTCTTTGAATAATGCGGTGGTGCTTTTATGTTTTTCTGCTGAAGTTTTAAATAATCTGTAATTGCCACTGACCGTTGCTTAACCTGTCCTTCGATATTGCATGCAATAAATGACAAGGCATCTAAACCAATAAGAAATTCAACTTCGTTTGAAAACAATTGAGCATAATAATTGCATATTACACTGCCCATAGAGTGACCCATTAACTTAACTTTCTTCCAACCAAAATAATCTACCACTTTTCTTATTGCTATAGCGTTAATATCTTCGTTATAATGAATACCATGTGGAATCCAACTGGATAAGCCATGTCCCGGTAAGTCGATTGCGAATATCGATGAATTTTCTAATAATGGAGCCAGCAAATCAAAGCTAGCAGCATTGTCCATCCATCCGTGAATCGCTAGTATAGGCTGTTTCTCTTTCATACCCCACAGTTTACCTGTAACGTAAAAAAGTTTATTTACACATTGATTCCTTTTTCATCGTTGCTTTTAGATTAAAATAATTCATTTCATACCACGTATTTTACCCCATGGGACATCAATTTCAATTTCTTCGAAATTTTGATTATGTGCAATATTAGTATTGGCACTGTGTTGGAATCTTTTTATCGCTACACAGGATTTACGGCTTCTATTAACCAAATATGAAAGGTGTTTTAGAAACATGGTTGACCTAGCAAAAATAATTGACAATTATATTATTCATTCAATATTTACCACAAATAAATAGTATTAATAAATAATGCGCACATCAACATGACAATCAACTCAACATTCACGTGTAGAAACTAATAATAATATTTTACAAAAATTGTAAACATTATTCTTCTACAAAGTAATATAGAATAAATTGAATTTTTCAGCATTTCGTCTAACCTAAAATCCATATTCACTTGATGTTTCACTTGTATTGCATTCACTTGTATGATTACAAATCCAATTTACCTGAACAGATAATAAATTACCAACTGCGTAATAGCAGTTTACTTCACGTTGCATATGAAATTTAGAAATGACCTAATATTCATCATATTTGATTTGCATCTGCTTATACTTAAGCTAATAAATGCAGATGTGTTTATTCATCCTCGTCTGTACATGCGCATATATATATATATATATATATATATATATATATGTAGATGCGCGCGCAAGCGCATGCCTGCGCGCACACACGGACGAAGGCATATTTATGAATCAATATCTGACCGAAGGAGCGCAAGAATCTGTAGTTTCATAAAAAATAATTTAATTAAATAAATTTCTTTAAATTTAAACAATTACGAATTATTGTATACACTGATTATGTAATATCTATAAAATATATTTATATATTAGTAAAAAAAAAGCAGCAAGTTAAAAGTGTAAATTGAAATTTTCAAAACAGTTTTTTGAATTCTTACGTGACACATCACTTTTCATATATTATGTTTTAGAATTATTTTCTCATTAACGATAAAGTCTAGTAGGATTAAAAATTACACTTTCTATAAAGGTTTATTATTAATTTAAAATCAATTAATTTAAAAATTATAATTGACCTGCCGTTGAGTCGACAATTAAAAATATTGTTAAAGTATCGTGTTTATTTAATTATCGAGGCATTTAATAAAAATAAATCAAACTTACTTTTATATGGCCAGAGTGGGTATTAATGAGCTAAATACGATGAAACTGCAAGTGCGACGACTCGTATAATTTTACTAAAAATACTACGGGAAATCTGGAGCGAAGGCGTACAACCTCTACCGACTCCTCGTGTGTAAATGTTGAAATGAAATGGACATTCTATTTTTAAACGTCCGGTCAAATTTTGCGCACATTATAAGAGACGATCCACTTAAAAATGAAAGGTAAAAATACGAGTACCCGTAGCTACATTTTTAATTTATGGTGCAGCTACGATCGACTCGGGGCCCAACTGCAATAAAAAAAAACAAGCAGCTCAATTACAAAATCGCTCTAAACAATCGACTAGATAAGTATTGTAAAAAAAGCGCCATAGGCCTACAGCGCGCGACGTTCGCGCGCGAGCAGTAGTGCGCAGGTGCGACGAGAGATGCAAAGCCGAGAGTGAGAGTGGGAGTGAGAGGAAGAGAGACCGCGAGTAAGATGGCAGATCGCGTGCGCGCTCGCGTAATCCCGCGCACTTCTTACGGATTAGTGGCTGGCTTCAGGTCGTTGGTTGTGGTGAGGTGTAGACACGCGTACGCGCACGGCAGGTCGTCGTCGTCGTCGTCGTCCGTCGTCATTAGGATCGAGCCGGACTATTGTCGGGGCAAGAGACGTTCGAGACTTACGCGAGGGTCCGCGTGGACGCGTGGACGCGTAAACGTAGCGGATGGGAAGGGGATCAGGGATCATCGGGAGGAGCGGTGGTAGCATTAGGCTCGGCAACACTCAGGTCTCGTGCGCTCCGTTGCGGAGTGCCGCGTCCCTTCGTAGCAGCTTCTCGTTGCAAAGAGGAGCCGCGCGCCGTGTTACGGGCACGTTGCGATCGCGATCGAGGGAGGGACACATCGAAGGAAGGAGTGCGTCGAGTCGCGGAGTCCGAGGGCGATAGAGGAGGAAGGTGCTGATCTCGCGGCTTACAGCTTGTGAGGATGGGCAGGGGCGCACTGGCGAGAAGGGACGTAGCCCTCGCCGACAAGAAAATCTGCTCCGTCGTGGTGGCAGGTAGCCGCATCGCCTAGGGATGGTATCTCCGTCCAAGCTCCAGCAGCATTGCCCGCAGCAATCACAGCAGCAGCAGCAGCAGCAGCAGCAGCAGCAGCAGCAGCAGCAGCGGCAACGGCAGCAGCAGCAACAGCAACAGCAGCGGCGGCGGCAGCAACAACAACAACAACAACACCAACAACAACAACAACAACAACACCAGCAGCAGCAGCAGCAGCAGCAGCAGCAACCGCACCAGAGCGTGAGGAATCAGGAGCACAAGCCTTGGAAAAACTGCGAGACGAATCAGACGACGAACGTAGCGACTAAGATTGAAGTCGCAGCCGCAGCCGCTTGTAGTGAGTTTTCTAACCTCCACGACCTCGTCGTCGCCTAATGTAGAGCTCGCCTTTTACACACCATACGCAACCGCTAAAAATAGGCGAAAAAATATAATGCCCGTTCGCGATTTTTGCGACTTGTCGCTTACGTGATTCGTATCCCTCATATATTCTCTTTATATTAACGCGCCTGTATCTTTGTTATATTTATCTTTCTCATCATCCATTATCATCTATCTTTGCCAAGGTTTTATAATTGGGAGCTTTAGATTTGTCTCCTTCTCATTCTCCTTAATTATATTACATTCTTTATGAGTATTGTTAAATTGTATTTGTATTATTTGAAGTGTAGTTTGCAATTACTCGCATCATTTTTGTTCAATGTGTCACTATTGTCTTGCAACAAGAATGTAAGAATTTTTTAGTACAAGTCTCCAGTTATCTATGTCATGTTTTATACAAAGCCTCCATTCTATTATGTCTCTCTCTCTCTCTCTCTCTCTCTCTCTCACTCTCTCCCCCCACTCTCTTTCACTCTTACTCTCATTCACTCACTGTACGGGTGTTTGGGGGTATGTTATTACAAGTGTAAGCAAATGTGCGTACCCATGAACATGTGCATTTGTGTCATTTCTTCCATTGATTTACCTTAATGCAATAATTTTTCTCTCAATAATTTTGACTTGTAACAATTCTTTTAGGGTTACGAATACAAAAAGGACCAAAACCTTTGAAAAACAAGACATTCTATTTGGACATTAAGAATCATGCCCACTCAGCAAAGTTAGAAGCCAAAATTAAAGAACTTGGCGGAGTAAGTGTCATTTCACAATTACATAAAATATTTAAATAACATCAATCATTAAAGAGTGCAGAAATTCTTTTACTTATACCTGTTTTTACTGTCAACTAGGTTTATCTTAAAATTTGTTTACATTTCATGATGCCTGCAACCAAGAATATTGTTGCATGGCAAGATAGCCTAAGCAAAAGTGCATACACCATTAAAGAAACATCTAGAAAAATTCGTAAGCCGTCCAATTGGATATCTCACGTTGATTGATGAAAGAGCAAGTAAATATTTGAAGCGCACAGCCGACAATCCATTTTATGTGATTATATTACTCATTGAGTGTAATGTCACGCCCTCGTACGATCTTTTAGACCAAACGTCAAAATTCGATGAAAATCCTGATTCTGGATGCTTTTCCTAGAGAACGCGTACTTGCGCGAAGCTTTCGAGACAAAGGCAAAGACATCAACAGCAACAACAGCAGTAGCAATAGCAGCTGCAATAACAACAGTAATAACAGAAGCAAGTG